TCTCGTAATGAATTAACAACAATTATCACTAATCATGCTAATTTTATATATAAATGTATTAATACCCAGGTTATAGCCAGAACTCTGTATGAATAAATGTTAATTAAACATTTAAATTAATAATAAAGGGTAGGAATTGGCATACTCAGATTCTTGGGACTCTGCTCTATTATAATTAGTGCAGTTAAAAAATAATGTAGGTCAATAAGAAAATAAATATGAACAGCTATAGGAAAGGTTTTAAAAGATTGCCCCATTCAGACTTACTAATTAGACAACGGAAAAGATGCATTAGCATCATAGAATTTTATGCGTCTCCAGTATTTGAATCTATCATTCTTTAAAACAAATAAAACAAGTTTAAGTATTATTATTAATTTAAACTCTTGCATACTTTTTTATTATTTGAAAACAGGAAACATTTACAATGTTTTTAATTGTCCAACATATTTTTTTTAAATCTCTATACTATCTCAAGTCATTAATATAAATTGGACAAGATTATACTAAAAATATAATATTCAAGTTACATAGATTAAAACCAAATTAAAAACCCCACATGTAATATAATTTCTTGAATAATATATTTTACTTTAAATTTATACTAGAAATTGTTAGTACAATATCTAGGTAGAATAGTGTTTTAGTGCACTATTGTAATCAATTAAAAAAAATTCTAACCAAACTCACCCTAACACAGCTATGTCCCTTACTAAAGTTAATAATAATTAATGTAAAAAGTAATTTTAGTACAAAAAAATACTTATGGGTAATAAACTCCAATTTGTAAAAATTAATTCAATAACATTCTTACCTTAAAAATCTGGAATGAGCACATTCGAGTTTCGTCGACAAACATCATTGCTCCAGCATTACCAAACTTTCCTAAATAATTTGGTGCTGAAAATAAAGTGACCAACTTGTCCTTTGCAAATAACTCAAAACCATCCTCTACAACCTAAAAATAAAATTACTAAATAAACTAACTATATTAATTTAGTTAATAAAATATTTACAAACCTCGTGAGCCCTACATATGAAATCAAAATCATGTATATGCAAAAATTGTCTCACAACGGCAGCACCAAATGTAAATGATACACCCCTGTCGTCATTTTCTTTCCAACCCATTGTATCCTTAAAAATAAATAACACAGTTAAGTATTTTAAATACATTTATAAGTATAAATATTAAATAATATTATATTATTACTTTGTCAGGATCAGACCAAAGCAAGTCACATAATAGTCCCTGTTCAGGAACATCTGTTGGCCTCACAATCTGCCTAATTTGATCCATTGATTGCAAATCAGGACTAAGACCACCATGACAACAAAAAATCTTTTCTTCAACAATTGCTGCCACAGGCAAACAATTAAAACAGTCCGTAAATACTTTCCAGAGATTTTTATTATACCGCCGTTCACCTAATAATATAAATAAATTATTAGATTAAAGGTTTAAAATCGTTTTAATTATTACTTACATTCATCATAAAACCCATATTTTCGGTTTATTCTAGTGCATTCGTGATTGCCACGTAAAAGGAAGAACTTTTCGGGGTATTTTATTTTATATGCCAACAAGAGACATATCGTCTCCAGAGACTGTTCGCCACGGTCGACATAATTACCCAAGAATAAGTAGTTGGACTCGGGTGGAAAACCGCAATACTCGAATAAACGCAATAAGTCATAGTAATGACCTTTAATATCCCCTTGAAAAGAAAAAAAGAGTTCATTTTAGATAAGACAAGTACATTTAATGCATTTTACTGTATATGTGTACATATATCCATGTTGTTCAAAATATATTAAACCATCTAGAAAATTATTTAAATTTGTATAATGTAATTTTAATTTTAAACAACGATTGTACACAAAGTTTATTGTATTATGTTTTATCAATCACTCTTTTTGATAGTGATCACAAAAATGTTATTATGAACTTAACAAACATTTTGATTAAATTATTTTATGTCTTCTTTGCATAAAATATCTTAAGTGACTATAAATACTCTGTTCCAAGTGAGATCATGCCACGGCCCGACCAAAATCGGTTTTTCTGCGCAAACCCATGTAAAACCCTTCTATAGTGGAACTGGTTTTGACAGCAGAGGGATGCGCAGAACTGGCATGTTCACTCGTGGGACAGAGTCAAGTTCTAATTGATAAGATTTATTACATGATGTTTCTACATCAGGAGTTTAAAATGCTATTGTAATATTTTCTTAACTTCCCACACTGAGTTTATTTGTAGAATATAGGTAATCCAAACAATATTTATAAAATTGTATTATATTTCACACCAATTCTTATTTAAAAATAATAAATATTACTCACTAAATAATGAATTGAATAGTCAAAGTTAAAACCTTTAGAGTAATTACAGTACTTTTTTTGTAACTAATAATTCAATTCAACCAAATCTAGGTACTTATAACTAAGTTTTTTAGGGGTAAAAGAATATTTATTTAAAAATTATTGAAAGAATACTCAATTATTTATTGAGATTTTTAAATAATGTTGGCCTTCTTTAAATACCAAAAATATAACTACATTCTAAGACTTTCATTTGGTATGAACTATGGAATATACTTTTTGCTCAAAATGATATTTATTCCAATTATATTTAATAACTACAAAGTACAAACACAAACACAAACATTTTAGAGAAAGAATTAAGGATATAATAACTCATTAATATTTATATGATATAATTGATATAAAATCTGATTCGTGTTTACATAACATGAAACTAATAGGCAATTTCATTGATTAAATAAGAGCATTTTAGATTAACAACTTCAATATTGTTCTTTTAAATATTTGAGATTAAAATGTATAAAAATTAGTCTATGTAACATACAATATGATTCACTTAATTTGTTGTACCTATACCTAAGAAGCACAAAAACAACTACTGCATTATATTTATTCGGTGGCATACATAAATCAAAATATTTACATTCCATATTATTAGATAGGTATATAACACAACCAAAATATATCCAAGCAACCCACTGAGTACAGTAACCAATGTTCCTAGTGAGAATACAATAAACGACATCCAGTCAGAGGTGTTGGAGGTACTCACCACATATTTTCAACGGCGCATCGAGCTCCAATAGCATGGGTTGCGATAGGAAGATCTCCCTGGACTTGAGGCACAGGCCTATCATTTCACCATCGGACAGCTGAACGTTCTTGCCAGGTCTCGCACCGCGCACTGTTGAACAGTTACAACAATATTGTTACAAATTAATCGTCATCGGTCAAAGGGACCGACCGAAACTGGTACCCAAAGGCGGACGGCGGAACCGCGTTTCCGTCATGGCCCACCGGCGGCTTACCTTCCAAGAGTCTAGAAATTATGTTGTCGATGTTCAATAATTTGACAATGTCTATCATTGTTTCGGCGTGTGTGTCGTGATTATTGTCGTGCTGGAGTCAGTGGCCGTGATGATGGTCGTAGCCGCCACCGCACGATGCTCGATGGATCGGGTGTGATGTTAAGCCGGTGTGCGAGGTCTGAGGTGCGTGCAATTGACGGAAATGATGCGAGCTGATGGTACGCGGGTTTGCCTTGCCGGGAGACGGATACAATTAATAAAATAAAATACTAGTACTCGTCCCGGATATGCAAAGTGAAATTACTGAAATGGCGTAGTTAGGACGTTACCACGGATATAGAATATATAGTACCTATCTATATCCGTTACTACGTTACGTCATCAACTATTTTTTTCCTCTCCCACCACCCTCCCACCACACCCGATATCGTTTATTCTTCCACGACGATACCGAATACCGACCGTTTTTCAAATATAAAGGTCCCCACAAACCGCGGTAAATCAAATACATACGGTAATCCAAATTTTATTTGTGCGGTAATTTTTACCGTCGTAGCTTGCACACTGATCCGGTAACGATATTAGTTCCCGGACGGTAAATACCGTACCGGAACGTTTACAGTAAAAATTAGCACACACTGCTGCGGTGGTGCGGTACGATATAATATCAGAGACGCATACTGGAATTTCGTGGTTCATACCCTCTCAAAGATTTTTTTTTTACATTAATGTAAGATTAATTTTAATATTTTTTCTAATAACGAATAAGCCCTTACCCTCTCACCAGACGTTTTTTTCTGTAGCTCAAATAAGTGCCAATGATACATAATAAGAGTCTTTATATTTGTACCTAATTGTCTATTATTATTCATTTTAAAGAAACTGTACATCAAAATAATAATAAACTAATATAATAATTTAAAAACAATGTGTTATTGTGTTTATACTACTAAAACGTATATTTTAAGGATATTTTAAAAAAAAATTCTTGAAGTACCTACTCATTGTTTGGTACTTTTTATTGGCTAGTATGAATTCATCTTTTGATATTTCAGTTAGTATAAAGTCATTTTAAATTTTTGTCAAATTATGTATCCAAGTATAATATTTTAAATTTAGATCATTAGAAAAATTACTGGAAGGCTGAATAATTATAGAACTCAACATTTTGAGAATTCTAGATTTCTTTGAAATAACTTACTGATGAACCTGATATTCAATACTACTTTGCAATGGGTTGTTGGAATGTCGTTAAGGGGTATGAATAGTATTGAAAAAATCTATAAAAATGTACTTTTGTATTTCCAATAATATGGTTTATTAAGTGGTTTGAGAGTAAAAACACCTATTATCAATATTGTAGAAGAGAAGTTAATCTGTGCCTGTATAGAAGTCAAATTTTAATATTTGTAATTACTAAACTCAATAATTCAAATTCAAAAAGTAAAATATCATAAGTTTTAGAGATAAATATTGGACATTGAAAATAAAATATCGAAAATCGACTCCTATACAAGCCTAGATAAACTCCTTCTCTTCAATTTGTATAATAGGTGTTCATACTGTAATGTCACTCAGTAAGCTTATTGGAAATACGAAACTAAGTTTCAGTGTTTCACTAAAATTCACATTTGCCCAATAATTAATATGCCCAATATGTGTAATAGAACGTATCAAGATTTTCATAATACTATGTATATGCATATGAACACCATAGCATTGAATGAAATGCAGTTAGCGGGACAAGAAGAAAAACGATTAGCGATAGAAAATGGTCAAGTTGACCATTTAGGACGACCTAAAATTGCAGTAGTCGCTGATGGCGCTTGGAGTAAGCGATCTTACAAAACTAAATACAACGCACTGTCCGGAGTTGTAAGTAAAAAATAAACTACATATTATAAAAAACATAGTTCCTAAGCATATAAAATTAAGTATATTCTAATAATATAAAACATGTATCTATAATAATAATTTTATTATATTATTATACTATATTATATAATAAATACAATAGTAGTATAATATAATATAATATATAGGTATATGAATAATTATTTATGTTACGTGATATTTAACAAAATATATTTATAGGCTTGTATTATTGGTGCAAAAACAAAAAAAGTAATATTTTGTGGAGTCAGAAACAAATATTGTTGTATATGTCAATTACCTGAAAACCGTGACGAAATAGCACAGGATCATGTATGTTTCAAAAATTGGAATTCGGCCTCAACCGCGATGGAAGCCGATATTATTGTTGAAGGGTTCAAGCAAAGTCTGCATATGCATAATGTTATATATTCTCAGTTAATAGGTAAGTGACTTTATTTTTATTTTTTACATAAATATTTTCATTTACTTATACGTTGTATTATTGAATATATTATAAAAAAGGAGATGGTGACAGTAGTATTATGAAACGTTTAAGATTGGAAAAGCCATATGGTACAAATGTTGTTATAAAAAAAGTAGAATGTACTAATCATTTACTACGTAACTACATAAATCGTCTTAGAGATATAAGTGGGAAAAGAAAAAATGATAAAGGAGATGTCATACGTGGTTGTTATCGGAAAGTGGTTCATGATCGCTTACTTAGGCTTCGGTATGCTGTCACTGAAGCGATAAAATATAGAAGACTTGAACAAACAGATCGCACATATGAAGCAACACTGACTTTACTCAAAGCAGATATAACAAACGGACCTAATCATGTTTTCGGAGACCACACTAAATGCCAATCGTATTTTTGTGAGGGTCAAAAGAAAGGTATGTAATTTTTATTTGTGTACTGTATGTTTGTATGACATTTATGATTTATAGAATAAAAACTTAAAAATAACTATAAATAACTCATAATATATAAATTGCAAGTTAATAGTTTTTGAATAACGACAAAATAAGAAAATCGTTGCTAGGTACCTTCAATATCCGTGCAAGTTTATTCATTCATTTGTGCAATTTTTTTTGTTTTTTTTTTTCCCCAAAGAGTTTTTACAGTAGGTACTTGTATTTAAAATAATAAAACCTTCAATGTTTGTATAGGCAACGTATATAATATGGTTGCGCTAACCAACGGTCACATAACGGTTGATGTATATATACCTACCTTAAATAATATAGAGTTGTGAAATATACTAAAAGAGCAAACTCTGCTCGTTGAAAACAATGGTTTTGAATTATTCTGTTTGTCGGGAAAACGTCCCACAACACAGAGAATTTATACTGAACCATAAGGTATTATTCCGATGTGTACAATAGTTAAGACGTATGCAGTCTACAACACTGCAGTATATGACGTATGGTACACATTTTTGTACAAGAATTGAATAGTCACAAATAAAATATCTTATTATATTTTAAGTCCTTAAATTAATTTTGATTTATTTTATAAAAATGTTGTTTTCAATTCTAGCAACTCTTTTGTCGAATACCTCGGTTGTAGGAACACATGAATAATTTCTATTTGAAACGAAATTGAATTTTTTGCTATGTCGTTTGACAACCAGGACAATCAGTTTGTAGGGGTTTCCTCTCTTTTTAATGCATTTTTTCTCGTATACATTACAAACGTCCATTATGTAATATACATTTTATTTACAAAGTTTTGTTGTTTTATTTGACCGAATTCCAATTAAAGCACAACTATGAATTAAATGTTATTGTTATAATTTGTACGAATTATTTATTGCAACTGACTTTTGAGTAAATATAACTTAAACTCAATATTTTTCAACATTGTGACATTTTCAAGTATACATATAATATATGTATGTTATTTTTATGTAGAACTTTATAATGTTATTGAGATAGTTTGTTATATTTGAAGACTACTTGGGTAATAGGTACATATTGTTGACTATTGTTTGCGGTATTATATATATACGTTATACAATAATTATTATAATATTTTGTGTCTCATTAGCTTAGTCGGTTAATGATTTCAAATTTTCACCAACAGTTACAATAAACTTCGATAATTGATAGTGGATAGTATTTTTACGAGTTATTATAAACACTGATTTAGATATATGATTTAATTATGTAAGCAGATAATTGTTTTCTATGTTATTTTTATCCATTAAATTATTGTCATACAAATATTAACTATTCATAATCACATCTAAACATATAAATTGGAAATTGTATAAAGGTTCCTCTGCTATTACGCGTTATTGTAACTTTTGAATATTTTATTATGTGTTTAATCCCAAAATGAGCCACCTGGAATTCAATAGAACCCAAAAGTTATTTTTCCGCAGCATAAAAAATTAACATCAGTCTTATAATTTTAACACAAATAATAAGTGTTACTAATAATGTTTAATTTTACTTAGTTGATTCTCACCAATTTAATAATTAATAATTTATGATTTATTCCACCCGTTAAAGAAATAATAAATAAATATATATGTTTCGTAACTGATAAGCCAATTCTCCAATCTAGCAAAACAAGTATAAAGTAATTTTCCTTCCCTTCAAATACAGTTTGTAAGTCTTAGATTATAAGCCTTAGTTTGCAAATCAGTAGACAGTTTAAACTGTATCTAAAATTAACAAAGGCTGATTTTATATTATGTATATATTTTTCTTCTTTAGAAGTTTAAAAAAAAACTCTATTAGGTTTAATAATTCAACCCCCTGGCTATAAAATTACCCACAATACCTCCCTAAAAGGGGTGCCAGTTAAAATCGCGAAAAAAAAGCGAAAATAAAAATCGCGAACAGTTTTAACAGCGAAAACAATAATAGCGAAAATTAAAATATCCTTTACGGTATATTTTTCGTAAAAACATTAAAATACGTCAAAATACTATAAAAAAATACAATTTAAATTTGATATTTTTCCTAAAATTGCAATATATAAGTATATAAATTTAAAATAATATTTGAAAAATTAAATAAATAAATAATAATAAATACAATAAATAATGATTAAATTTGGTACTTTAAATTATAGGCAACACCCCTTAGGTATTCTAGTCTGTTCCTATTTTTGTAGTCATTAACTAAATCTTTAAGTGTATATCTTTTGCGTTTTTTGGATGGTTCGACAGTGCCCGCTATGTACTGATTTATTTTCATTTCATTTAAGCTCTGCTCCTTTTGAATTCCTTCAATAAATTTCCATATTGTTGGATGACATGAACTCAATAAGTTATTAAAGCCTCTATGCCATCCTTCAACATAATTATTTGTTCTGGGTAAACCAGATATAGTAGACCTAAAGCAGTTCCACAGTGAAATAGGGAATCTGGGAAACCTTTTACAATTTCGTCGTTTTTTAAGTTAAGGCGCGATTTACATAGTTCTTCAGTACATCTCCAATACATGGTATTTTTATATTTTTTGTCAAACCTATATAAATAACCATTAAATTTAAGTAAATTTTTGTTTTTTTGACTTTTAATGTACTCCATTGCGAAAATGTTACGAGTTAATAACTGTATGAATATGGCAACGGTGAACGGACGACTCGGTAATGCGGACTGGTGTGACTGGCGATTTGTACAAAGTACAAAATGACATTGATTATCTAGGTATCATTATTACTATTATTTACTATGACAAAACTTGACAGTTGTTAGGTTCAACCTTGGCTTATCTTTATTAAGTGATCCAAGACGCAAGATTACAAAATTACATTATTGATTATCTATATTACTTATTATATTATAAAGGTATACGCCATACGGTATACCCACTAACGAAAATAATTTTCGATATTATTGTTTTCGCTGTTAAAACCTTTCGCGATTTTTATTTTCACTGTTTTTTTTTTTCGTGATTTTGACTTTCGCGATTTTTTTTTCGCGATTTTCACATAGAGACCCCTAAAAGAAACGATTCAAATATTTTGGATCAACTGATAATATTCCTCCACAGTAAGCGTGACATCTCACCAGCTTACTGAGAGGTACTTTTTAAAAATCTCATACTAATTCATAAAAATATAATATGGGAGTGCGAAATCAAATATAATTGAGGGGTAAAATCTCACTAGCTCCCTTCCTTCGTTATATTTATAGTCATTAAATTACCAGTAGAAAAGAAATGGTGGGGTATTGTTGGTCATATACACATGGCGTATAGGTATACTAATGAATAAAAAACATTATATTCTCATATAAAGTGAGGTACTGGGATGATGTGTTGTTCACTTAGATGTTAATTTACATGCTAAGAGGACATTTTGATAAAAAAGTTACCATCAAGATCCTCTTTTTTTGAGTTGATTATTTTTTGTTATTGAATAATCAGATTAATAAAGTAATGAAATATAAATAAGGTTTTGAATTGGTTGTTTTAATTAATTAACTCTGACATTCCACTAATATTTTATAAGCACCGACTTGGTCTATCAACGTGATATTGTACATGCAAATTTTATAGAAAATATGTTTCAATAATAATAATAATTACAAATAAGACAAATAAAAGTCGTTGTTAAAAACTAGTAAAATATACCTCATTAGTCATTATTAAAGATCAGATGAAGGTATGTGCACTGAATCACGAAATGTATTCTTAAAAATAAAGAAAGTAAGTAACCCCTCTGTTGTACAGTTATAGGTGTCGAGTGTACCTCGTCATTAAATAAATGATAAATCATTGTATTCGAAGAAGGATTCCAAGCCAAGTTTTTCTGTCAACCTATATCATTATAAACCAAAAAGAATATATTTTAATGATGTATGTATAATGGGTATTGCTTTTATAGAAATGTATTTTACTATCAGTGATAGTGTGGTGCAACAGTAGGTAGAATTAATGTTCACCAAAAGTATTACATTTATACAATAATTAACAACTAGCTAATCCCGAGTACTAAAAAATGACAATACTCTTAAACAAATTGTCATTGGTCAACTTCATTTGGGTGTAATTCTTTGTAATTGCAGCCACCCTAGTAGTAAGTACTTCAGATAGCGGATAGACAGCATAGTTTTAAGCTGACAATCCTCAGGTGGATTCCGGACACGGCCTAAGCGGCTATAAGTGCAACTAACCTTGGTAGGCAATGTGCGAAAATTTGATATTTGCTTGAATCTGATCTGCCCGATTAATCAATGGCAATCTATACACAAAAAAAATTCTGATATCTACCATTACTATTATAATCTGCAATCAATAGCAACCATTTATAAACAAATAAAAGTTTCAATTTCACCGTCAGTCTCAATTCTCAAATTCATTTTCTGAACACCTCTAATTTACCTTTTTAATTTTTCTCAACAAATCTATTTACCAAATTCATCAAATCGGTTCAGTGATTTAGGCATGCAAGGGATAGTTATTATATTTTATTATATTATTTTTATAAGCTATCGAGGCAATACTGACTTGTAGAACAGTGTGAATAGGTTCGTGGTAAAAATTACAATAGCATAAAATAAATCTAAGTGTTTCGAAAATTTGTTAATTTTATAACATTTAATAATATAGAAAGTCCCCACTCATAATATTTTTGAATACAATAAAAAAACTAAATCGTTCTTCTTCATTTAAAATATCGAATATCGTCCAACTAATTAATGTCTAAAAAAATTGTATATTTTTTAGTTTTTAGTTTCAGAAAGAACTTTTTATGAGGAATATTGTCGTAAATTTTATTCTAGGGTATGGATATTGAAGATTTTATTAATTTTTAACTTTTTTTCACACTTTTGTGATTTTGACGAATTTTGTCTACATTTAAACTTCAAAAAGGTTCTTACAAAAACATCTGCATAATATGTATTTTTAATATTTTTTAATATATATATAACACCTACAA